TATCTCTGTGCAAAGCTCTCTGCAGAGAGCTAAGAACATTCATAAATATTTCCAGTCCCACGAACTGGTGTGATTCCAGCTCTAACAGAGATGGATTCAAAGCTTGGCAAAATTTGTGCAGAACTAAGATATTTCTAATATCATCATTTTTTAACCTTCTTTACCTCCTCTGCCTCAGTTAGGGGTAGAAGCACCTGCTTTGGTGGAAGCTCAGGGTGAATCAGGGTTTAGATAAATCTGTTCCCTATCAGTCACTCAGCCAGTGGAATTCAGAGCTGCTCCAAGTAGGCCCAGCACAGCCACCATCACCGTGGCTCTAAAATGCCACCAAACCCATGGAATATTTTCCACTTGATTCTTCAAAGATTAAAAAGGAAAAGAATAATTTAAAAAATTTGCTGTAATTTTGGCATATCTTTCTTTAAGGAATACCACGGACCAGCAATATCCTTCTGCTTCTTTCCAAAGAAAACGGATCTAGACAAATTTAAATGCTGTGGTGTTTGCTCCATTCCAAAATGTCTCTCTGTTTCATAAATGGGGATTTTGCCATAGCTGTAGTTCTCCAGATTTCCCTTGATGTTTTCCATGACAACAAACCTGCCTGTTTCTTGCCTATAGAACCATAGGGTGAATACAATTGGAAGAGAAGATGAAACAGAAAGAAAAGGAAATAAAGAAGGAAACAAGAAAAAGGGAAAAAAAAACCCGGGAAGGGAAGGGAAGGGAAGGGAAGGGAAGGGAAGGGAAGGGAAGGGAAGGGAAGGGAAGGGAAGGGAAGGGAAGGGAAGGGAAGGGAAGGGAAGGGAAGGGAAGGGAAGGGAAGGGAAGGGAAGGGAAGGGAAGGGAAGGGAAGGGAAGGGAAGGGAAGGGAAGGGAAGGGAAGGGAAGGGAAGGGAAGGGAAGGGAAGGGAAGGGAAGGGAAGGAAGTGGGGACTGAACAAAATAACTTGAAATTTTGGATTTTTAAATTGAGCTGAGAGAGATTATCTGCTGAGTCAATTGCAGCTTTAAATAGGAATAAGAGTTGTGGCTCCCTGTTGGTTTCTCATTGAGACAGGATGAGGCCTGAGCCCAGTGTTCCAAAATCAGGTAGGTCCTGAATGCAGGAGGCAGCTCCATTCCTCGTTTTAGCTGCTCTAAATCCAACAGTACCATGAGTTAATTTGTGCTTCTGTCATCTTGGTATAAGGAAAGACATTCTGCTCTTACATGTGCAGTGCTATAATTTTCCAAATGAGTTTGGCCCTTTTGAAAAAGATACTGTAAATTACCCAAATCAAAACATATTTTGTTGCCCTGTCTGTGTTTCTGAGACTGCAAAAATGTATTTCATGCCAACTGTCCACAGCAATTCTACTTATGTTACATATGCAATCTTCGAGTTTTATAAAGGAGGAATAAACCTATTTGTTTGATTTGATTTTGTGGGGGTTTTTTTGTTGTTGTTGTTGTGGGTTTTTTGTTTGTTTTGTTTTGCTTTTTTTGGGTTTTTTTGGGGGGTTTTTTTGTTTGGTTGGTTTTTTGTTTTGTTTTGGTTTGGTTTGTTTTGGTTTGGTTTGGTTTGGTTTGGTTTGGTTTGGTTTGGTGTGGTTTGGTTGTTTTTTTTTTTTTTTTTTTCCCCAAATAAGGCATAACTAGATTCAGGAGCTGTTCTTTTGTGTACACAGACTGGGTTTTGTTAATGGCTACTCTTTTATGATTTTATAGTACAGACCTGACTGATCACACAAAGCTTTTATTAAATTGTTCCCCCTCTTAATTTTTTATGAATTTATGAGCCATGAGCAGCTACAGCTCTCTACCTGCTGTTGTTAACTGTCATCCTCCAGGATATTGAATAAAACTGCCATAATCTTTAATGCCTCAGTTTTAGATTATTCAAGTGCTTGCATACATTGCTGTAGAAGCTGCTTTCCTCATTTCAGCTGGCAAGCAAGCAGATAATTTTAAATCACCAGCTAGTTTTAGGGGCTCTGATTAAAGAGGATTCAACTTTGCCCATGATATATGGAGCTGTCTGGAGGATTAAAATCTTTTTCCTCAGGCTTTTACTGGTGCATCCCATATAAATAAATTGCCTGGAGCTGACCAGTGGCTTAGCACAAATAAACTTATTCTCTGCTCTTTATATCATCAAGGACCAGAACCCATCTCCCTCTTATCTGCATGTACATTTAAACACAAGCTCGTTAATTAAAGAGAAAACATCAATTTCCTCTGGCCTCAACAGCAGCTGCTTTATGTCACCACCATCAAATTTGCACCTGAATAGTTTTGGAGCTTTGAAGTGATTGTATTTCCAAAATATAAACTGTTCTGGACAATATGATCAGAATAAGGCACAGCCCTGCAGACACAGAATTCCAACAGCAGCACAATTATTTTGACTGAGTGCAAACAGCCAATATTATCCCACAGTAATTACAGCAGCTGCAATTCTCTGTCCCCACATGTTTAACCACATTTATTCTGCAGGTAACTGGGAAGGTAATGGAGTATCTCAACCTGAAGGAACAGTTTTATGAGAAATTTATCATAGCACCCACTCCCTTCCATGAACAGATCAATTCAAAGCTTCCCAAGACACCTGAGCAGTCAGAATTTTTATTTAAAGCATGTGCAGTAGCAGAGACAAAGCTTCACGTGGTACATTCTAGTGTAGTATTTTTATTTTGAGAGAGCAAAATAAGGGGAAGTGGAACAGGTTAATTTGGTTTTATGGCAATGATAAAGGAAGGAATTAATATCTTCCTCACTCAACTTGAAAAAGTAAACCTATGTTTGGATAAAAAAATTTTCAGCATAGTCACTGTGGGAGAAACCAGTTCCACTAGGATTAGAGATAAAATAAATAATTTCTCCTGGAAACTCTTGGCCAATCTACTGGGAAAAGAATTCAATGTTCAGTGAATAATTTTTTAAATGAAGGGAAAAAAGCTGCTAATTATGTACATTTCCATCTTTTTGAACAATACAATAGTGTTAAGTCTGTGGTGTTGCTTTTCAACAGCTCTATAAAAATTAAAATATTTTTCGCAATTTCCCCTCAGTATAACATTTTTTTCCTCTACCTTTCTTTCATACACAGAAATTTTGATTCTCAACATAACCAGCTATGTTAGAAGATGGGACCCTACTTCTGTCTCTTTTTTACTCTTCACACAGGCACAGAGCTCCATGTTGTGCATTTTGTGTATTTAACTACTCAGCTCTCATTACCACTCACACACTTACAATTTTTTAAAAATAATAGTCTCATGATGAGCTATTCTCATATTTTATGACTCAGTACACATTTCCCTGATTATGGAAGCATACAAAACCACTTGTACTCATTGTTGCTTCAGAAGAACTGATGAAGAAATGTTTTAAACAGAAAAAATAACAGTAGTAAGAGCAGAAGTATGCAAAGACTTTTCTATACCTTAAAATAAACAAAACTCCTGCCATCCCTGATCCAATGAAATTATTCCATAAGGGAATATTAGATAAACAGCTTTAAAGTATTACATAAGTCAGATGTATTACCAACATTGCTGGAGGAAAAAAAAAACAAAACTGCACTGATTTAAAATGGAAATAACTGCAAGCAATTCTGAGAATTGTTTGCAGACTAAATTCCATCAGCATATGGGGATTTAGCAGACCTCATTTTTTACAGGTTACAAAGTTTTATAATTCTTGCAAGTTCTCAATAAGCAGAAACACTTTGAACAAGAGTCATAATATAGCAGTGTGTATAGATGTGGTTTTCACACTATTTATTTTCTGTTTGCTGACATCTTTGTCCAACTAACTTTATAACAATGAAAAGGGTTCAGTAAATATAACTTTTCAGCAAGGAGTAAATTCACAGTATGATTTATGCTGAGCATCAACTCAAGATTATGGGATATTTCAATCCAACTTCATTTCAAAGATCTATGTGAGGTAAAACTAGGAAGGATGTGTAATTCCATACCATCTCATAAAGATTACTGTGATTCTGTACTATTACTTTCCTTAGACTGGAAGCACAAAGAAAATATCATTATAAGCACAACAAGTATCAGTCCTTTCAAAAAAGTGTATTTTAAGGTTTTTTATTTCCTTCTCTGAACTGCTCAGAGAATCGTGATTTGGAAGCCTGTCCAAATATCAGGATGATTATGCAAATGTGCCCAAATACATGCCTAAGATAATTTTTATCATTTGCCAATTTCTATTTGACTGGGAAATTGAGGCACAGTGAAGCAAATTGATTTGCCTAACTTTATCCTGCGAGTTTGTGGCAGTTTTGGGAATCCTGGTTCTGGGTTTTGAGCATCCAAACATCCTTTCTTACCTCTTTTTTTCACATCCTGTGTCTGAGAACCTGTGAGATTGGATCCAATCCTTTATGGAGGTGCACAACAAGGGCACAGTTTGACTGTAAATCTCTCTGAATGAGTTAAATATGATTATTTTTGTTCTCTTTCCACTGTCAGAGTGCTCACCAGTGGGCTGGACATGTTTTGTTTACACCAGTGCTCATTTTCTGTGAAGACCTCAGAATAAATTAGTTCTAAAATACAGCCTTTGGCCAGATTAATGTTTCAGGCAAGTTGTGTTAAACATTTTTCCACTTTTCCTGAGCTTACCCTGTACTTACAGATGCAATTAGATCTACAAATGATTTAAACCAACTATTTTGTGAACGCTTAGATTTGGTTTAGGGTTGCATTTCAGCATTTGTTAGGCAGCTAGAGTCTATAATGTGTTCTGTTGTGTCTCTTTTAAATGATGAATGTTAAGGAAACAGAGGTTTTAGGGCAAAAAACCCCACCGCAAACTCATATTCTACATATGAGACTTTAGGCTGAAAGTCACACAAAGCATATTTTCTACTTCTGAAACTTTTTTTTTCAGGAAGCATAGCACTAAATTATAAATCCAACAAAATACATATGGCCAAGCAGACACAGACCTGCACTGCTTGAACTTCCCTCAGCAGTCAAACCCTTTCTTTATCCCCACAGGCCATTAAAGAGCGTATGGAGTCAGAGAGTGACCTTGCCAGCACCACACGACATTAGCACAGATGGCCTTGGCCATGTTAATGACATTTCCATGGGAAGATCCATATCTTTGACATTTCTTGCACTCCCAGAAGCTGCAAGCAGCATGAAGTAGCCTAAAGAGGATTGACCTGACAGAAAAGCGTGTCCAGCTCACTCCAGCCACCCCAGACATTGTGAGTAGCATTCCCAGCATGAATCAGACACATCTGCATCCTCTGGCACTGCTGGAGATGGAGAACAGAGACCAAAAGTGTGCATGGAATCACCAGCAGGATCATCCAAAGCTCTGTGGGAAGCAGGTCCAGGGAGGGGATTCTCCTCTTTACTCTGCCCTCATGAGATCCCACCCAGAGAGCCGTGCCCAGTTTGGATATCCCAACATCAGAAGAATGTGGAACTGTTGGAGCAAGTCCAGAGGAGGCCTTGAGGTTGATAAGGGGACTGGGGCACCTTTCCTATGGACAAAGGATGGGAAAGTTGGGGATGTTCACTCTGGAGAAGAGAAGGTTGTTTGGAGAAGCTTCCAGTGCCTGAAGGGGCTGCAAGAATCCTGGAGAGGAACAATTCATCAGGAACTGAAGTGACAGGACAAGGGAGAATGGGCTCAAACTGAAAGAAGGGAGATTTAGGTTTGATATAAAGAAGAAATTGTTCCCTGTGAGGGTGGCAAGGCCCTGGCACAGTGTGTCCAAAGAAGCTGTGGATGCCCCATCCCTGGAAGTGCCCAAGGCCAGGCTGGACAGGGCTTGGAGCAGCCTGAGAGAGTGGAAGGTGTCCCTGCCATGGCAGGGGTGGAATGAGATGATCTTTCAGATCTCTTCTTTCCCAAACCATTCCATGATTACCACAAGGACATAAAATGCACCTTAAAGGAGAGGATCACTATGACACCTGTGAACCGAACATGTGTGTCTTGTTTAAGCATAGGACCATGGGCTCAAAAGGTTTTTAAATTATCTACCAGCAGTCTGGTCTTCTTATTTGTGCTTATTAGCTCCCTAAAAAGAGATGTGACTCTGCAAGTGGTGCTTCCAATGCATAAGGTCTGTAAGTACTCCTTTTTGCACAAATTAATCTAAAGTAAGGATATTCACCCAATTTGCTTCAATGTACTTCTTTCTCCTGAGAAAACACAGCACAGTTTTGACATTTTACATGAGCATTCAAAAAATGTTGGTGTCACTTAGATAAGAACATTTAAAAGTAATTATCCATATTTTTCAAAACTAGGCAGTGGAAAAGTAATGAAGAAAAAGCTCTGAACTAAAACTACTTTTCTTCTCCTTTCCTGATACTCAGCTTTAATCTGGGTATACTCTTTTATGCAGTCAATGGCTTAGGGATGTGAACAGCCATAAATGAATCTTAAAAAAAGAAAATTAATGTGGCAAAGTCTGACAGCTGTATGGTATTTATTCTAAGCAAATTCTGCATTGGTTCAATCTCTCAAGAAACTGTTATTTGGGTCAACATTATTGCTTTCATAGTTCACAGTCTTTATCTCCTGGGAGAAAGCCAATTTTTTCCTTCACTCCAATCCTCTTAGGCAGAGCCCCAGGAGTCTGTATCAGTGACCTGAGAATTTACATTCTACACCATGTCCCTGGTCAGGACACACTATCTCCCTCCCTGGAGCATTTCCATTAAAAAGGTGGAACACACTTGCAATCCCTGTAAATTGAGCCTCCTGGATTTTTTTTAGTCCTTTGTGGAGCAAAGGGAACATCCTACAAAGAGCACACTGCAGAGCAAAGAGCAGGGAAGATAGAGGGGAAACAAATAAATAAATAAATAATAGCCCAAAGATCCAAAAGTCAATACTCCATGTTTCATTTCTTTTTCTTTCTGACAGGAGCTCTGGCCCCTGAGCCTGGTCAGGGGCAGCTCAATAATAACGATCTAAGGCTGCTCTTCAATAGACACTCAACAGCTGACAGCTCCTCTGTTCAAATTGTCAAGGGCACAAAGAAAGGCTTGAATAATTAATTGTGAATGGTTGGATGTGATTTGATTGTGTGACCAACCTGTTACATCGACTTGCTTCCACCTAATCTTTCAAAATGAGATATTAAAACCACAACTCTGCCACGCTTCTTTATTTCCTGGTTGTTTCTTCCTCTGTGGTACAACCTGAAGGATATGCCATCCATGAGATGGAAGGTGGTGAAGGAGAGCCCTGATCTCATGTGGGTGAACAGAATTCTGTGCTCCAAGCCTGCCTTGTCTCTATAAAAAGTGCTTTTAATTTCTATTATGTAGATGCAGCCATCAAAAAAATAAAAAAACAAGGGTGGCAAAAGAAAGTGGCATCAGCAAAATTAACAGCTATTCACTAATTAACTTCTTCCTACCACAAAAAAAAAATCTCCAACCAAACAAAATAAACAAAATCCAAAAAGACCCAAACTAAACCAAAAAAAGTTCTAAAAGATCCCAAAAACTCAGCCTCCACACCCTGGAAAACAAAATCAAAAACAAAAACAAAAACAAAAAACCACAAACAAACAAAAAAAAACACCCAACAACAAAAACTACACAAGAAACCAGCCCTAAAAAAAAAAAAAAAATCAAAACCCCAACACCTTTCTCACTCCATTTCTGAGACATTTTTTAGCTAACTTTTCATAGACCAATCTCCCCACTTAAATAGAAACTGCAGACACCTGAACATTTAGGGCCAAGTCATATGATGAACACCATCTCAAATATAATCTGCATTTAATTTTAATGGGGACATAATCTGTTAACATGCATGATTTCAGCATTCTCTTTAATTCAGATGCTGATTTCTCAGCCACCCTCAAGTTTAGGTGGCACAATAAATTTTGCTTTGGTCATTCACCACAATTGGGTGACAGAAAGAGAGAGTGTCCAACAATTTCTGGTTGCTAAAGTTCTTTGAATGAGAGAAGGAAAGGCCACCATTTCAAGCTGTCCAAGGTCTACAAAAGTGTAGTTAAATGCTGGTTCTGTGTTTTGAAGGAGTATTTGCTGCAGTGAACTGTGGTTACAATGGAAAAATGCACCTTGGGAAACTGAAAATCTCTCTGTGATTAATAAAAAGTATTTTCTGTGAGAGCCAAGCTTCTCTCTCCCCTTATTCAGAGAAAATTCCCACGGGGTTTTACTCTCTTTGGAAAGAGTGACTGAGTGAGGAGTATTTCAAAGTTTGTTTGATAACTCATCTTCTGAACAACAGCCACCAGTTAAATGAAAGAGTCTGATTGTTCAGGGCAGTCCTGATCATTTCACTGTGTTCTAATCCCAGCTCATGGTCTAGAGAACTGAAAGTCTCCAGTGCTTAATTATAAGAAGAAACCTGTCTCTATAAAATATGACTTATGTTTAAGGTCAACACTGGCTCCTAAAGGACATTAAGTTTTAAAGAAGAAATAAGGACACATGGAAGTAGAACATTAATAAGATGCTAAAATTTTAAATTACCTTAATTCTTCCTTTCAAACAACTAATACTCTGTGGAGAGGCATCACCTGTTTCTAACCAGATTGTACCCTGTGGTGTATATTAGGGTTGCTGGAAAAAGTATTTTCCAACACTTTTAGGAGCAATATTTCCTTAGACTATAACCTCTGTTAAATATTTATACATTAATCTTTATTTTTACGTAGGAAAATATCCTATATATGCATGTGTGCACATGCATGTCCCCATCATGTGGGTGATAAATAATAGAAGGTCCCTCTTAATAATAAATTATGGATGAGATGTATAATATATGAATTAAAGTTAACTGCAGGAAAAATCATTCACACACAAGAAGCTGGGGGAAGAACTAAATCCTGCAAGAGAGAGGTGGCAAACAATTCACATTTTAGTTCAGAAAAGCAGATCTGAGGATTCTATAACTGCAGCTCTGTTTATGGAAACCTTTTCCACCAAAGAAACAAAAAAAAATTAAGTAAATAAATACGAAAAAATTAAATGTCACTTATTCTATTGACAATTTGGCAGGTAGAAAGAAGAGGTGCAGAAATGATTCAAGAGATGAAAGTCCATTTTTAAAAATGGTGGTGCAAGGAGACATTCAGCTATGAAAAAGGAGCTGATAAAGAGAAAAAACAACTGCCTGAAAGATGAGGGAGAAGACCTTTAAAATTATCAGGTCAGTTCATATCTTCATACCCTATCAGAAAACTAAAACAGAATTGATTGAGCATAGGCAGATGATGAAAAATTCAAGGAACAATAAAACAATTTTTTGGTTATTTCACAAAATATATCACAGTTCATGCAAAAATTACAAAGGGGATACAGGAATTCTCTGGTAAATTCCAAGCAGAAATGTGAAAGGACAAAACATTTAAAAGGTTCTATAGGAAAAAAAAAAAAAAAAAAAAAGGAAAAAAAAAGGCAGGACATTTGTCTTTCCTATGGGAATTTCCACACAGTGACAAACTTTTCACTGAACAAGAATTGCTGTCAACAGGTGCTGTCAGCATCACATGAACCAACCTCCAAAAAAATTTGAGATTTAGAGGAATCAGGAAAAGAAATGTATGTTAATTTAAGATCTAGATCAGTCTTTCCCCAGTTTCTGAAGTTCCTGGTTTCAGTCTGGATTAGGACCTAATCCATGTTAGAAAATTAGTAGAGGTACTTATGATTTCCTGCAATTTCATTCTTTCAGAATTACAAAAGCACAAATTCTCTTCTTTTTTTTCAGGTTAAGTCATTTTCATGTTGATATAAATCTATATTTTGCTCATTTTTTCACACTGGATCACTTCATTTTTTTTTCTTTTTTTTTTGTTGTTTTTTTTTTGTGTTTTTTTTGGTGAAGTGGCCACAGATGTCTTTTCAAGAACATTTCAAAACCACAATTAAAAAAAAAAAAAAAAAAGAAGAAGTGCTTTGTGCTTAGTTACCTTTCTCTAAAGCATCCTCAGTGTTTTCTGTGAATATTAATTCCTAGCATTGGCCCTGAATGTGGGAAATTTTAATTTTGAAACGATGAAATCATTCCTTTATTTTTGGTCCTTGTTCTGGTGTTGTACATCTGAGAAGGAAAACATTCTGTAATACTGTTTCTAGCTCAGAGGCTAAAATTAGTCTGAAATTCAGCTTACTAATTATCTCACATATCCGACTGTACAGCAACCATTTAATAAAACTGAGATAGAATTCCATCAGTTTGAAGGGATGGAGAAAGAGAGGACCATGGATGTTTTGAGGGATGGTGGGACATCTCTGAGCTACCAGTGAGACACAGACATGAAAGAACCTAATAGGATTCTAAGATAAAACATGAAGCAGCAGCACCATTGAATAAGAAAAGAGCCCATCTAGGATATCATCTGTAATCCAAGCTGATTTTGTTCACACAGGACATCTCCAGCAAGAACCAAAAATCAGGCATGTAAGTGCATACATTAAAAAAAAAAAAAAAGCCTATTTTTTAGAGAGACATTTAAAATTGGTTTCTTTCTTCTGCCAAAATAAATGTAGCAATAAATGTGTCAATAAAAATGTTACAGTGAATAACAAAATGTGTATGTTTGGGTGTGTATGCCAGGGAAGGAGAGGAGAATTGCTTAATTTAAAGAGCTTTACTGGAATGAGATTTAATGGCTTTGAGTTATCCATTAATAAAACTTAGTCTAGACAATTGGAGGAGATTAGAAGATTGGAAGATGAAGAATGTCCCAAACAGAGCATGGGGAAATCTGCTTGTCCCAAGATGAAGCCTGGGATGGAATTTGCCATGACTGCATAACACAGTCTGGGAGTTTGGGATGCTTTGGACATCAAATTCAAGAAAAAAAAAATTATATATATATATTTGTTAAGATTTCTTGGAGCTTATATTTTGTTGATATTATGCTTAAGATCCAATCATTAATTGTAGAGTTTAGTAAATTTTTGTCCAGCAGGTTCTTCTTTGGTGTATCTATTTTCTTCTGAGCTTCTCCTTGCTGCCAGGCAGAAAACAGCAACATTCTAAGTGCAAAGGCTTAGAAAAAACTAAAGTGCTTAATTGGGATCTGCTGTTTGCATGCTCAGGATTATGAACCCTCTCCTGGTTTGAGAATAATAAAGAATTATGGTAACAACCAGATTGGCAATGTCCAGGGGCTGTTTTCCTTTGCTCTGTGCCACTTGGGAGTTTATTTATGAGAGCTGTCCTGCCATGGAATTTATAGGATATCTGTTTTTCCTCCTTCCCCTTCATTGTGCCATATTGTTTTGGTTGTAGTTTCTTGGGTGTTGGTTTGGTTTGTTTCTTTTCTGAATTTAGATTCTGAACAGCAGAAGTTTCAAGATTAGTCGAGAAAAGCTTAGGGAGTGCTTTTGGTTTTTTAGGGTTTTTGGAGACTAAGAATAGATGTTCTGTGAACTCTTCTGAGTATATATTTATGTTCATGGAACTGAACTTGATGACCCAGGTCACTCTTTTCCTAAATTCTAATGGAATCTGCAGTTATTTTTTGCTTTTATGTCCCCGTTTCAACTGAGTTTCTGAAAGTTTCACAGCTGGGAGTAAAGCAAAAGATCAATTTTCTTTTTTTCTTGTGAGGTTTTTCTCTTTTTTTTTTTCTCCCCCAGTTCTGTGTAAGGAATCACAAGGACAAAACCCTTTCAGAACTTGGTTGAGGAAGCTCACTTCCTTCCAGAAAAATGGAATGTCTAATTTGGCACAGTTCTTGCATTTATTTGCAGTAGGTTAACAGTGATGCACTCTGAACATAGAAAATTAAACCATTTGGTACTTCTTGAAAATAAGATCTTCACATGAAGATTGTAGTGTGAAGTCTATTCACAAGGAGAATTATAAGAACCTCTGTTCCTGCCTTACATCATTGCAAAATTCAGAATTTGTCAATCCACAAAAAACAAAAACAAAACCAAAAAGTCCTGTACAGAGTGAAAACCACTGGGTTTTCTTCTAATTCACATCTTAAATACTCAGGCTATTTTTTGTCACAGTGTCACTGAAAAAAAAAGCCACCACAATATTTCTGCTGGTCACTGTTCTTAGTACAGGTGACCTGATTTTGTTTAGTAATGACTGATGCCACTGCATTGCTGGAAATGCAGGTGGACACCTGATGAAGCAGAAATGAATGAATCTCATCACCAAAATATCATAGTGAACCTCAGGAAAATACAAATGCAACAAAACAGAGGTTTGTTATTCGAGTTTTCTTGGAGCTGCAGAGGTATAAAGCATGTGTAAAGTAATATCATATTTATCCAGACAAACCAATAACACCAAGAGCATGGGTGATCATCTGAAGTTCCATAATTTATTCCTGGACAATATTGGTTGGTTTTGTCTCACAGTCACAAAAATACTCACAATCGTTTCCTTGAGAACTGAAATCTACAGTGGGGCCAGGGAATCTACAGGAGGTCCTTCCTCTGGGAGAAGACACCCCTTCACTCTCAGAATCATCACAACAACATTGCAAAATATGCAAAATGGATGATCATAAAAAAGATTGCAATGTTATAAGGTTCTGGACAGAATTAATATGATGTACCAGCAGTCCATCCTCTAAATAAATTGGGGACAATAATGACTCAGTTCAGTCATGTCCTGCTGAGGTTAAAGATAGAAAATGGGCACAACTGCTCACAGGTGGGTGTATAACAGACATTACTCAAAGACAATGCTCCAGTTTGCTGATCACTGAGAAAGTCTTGAATATTAGAAATGAAAATGTTATTACCTGCTGAATATAACCCCAAAGCTCCTTTGTGCTGGGAGCCTGAGTACTGTTCCCAAAATCATTCCCTACAGGTCATAAAGTACCTGCAAATCTCTCTTATGTTGCTCCTGGCAACAGGGAACTTAAAAAGTTAAAACTAAGACTGTGAGAGCAAAGCAAGCTATGAAATAATCATAATGCATACAATTAATTGTTATCTTGTTGGGCATAACCACTTCTAAAAGTCTTGTTTGGAGTATTACAAGTCATCCTGAAGCAGAGGCATTCAGAAGTCATTAATATTTTAACTATTCTTGACCTTGGATCTTCTGGAGAAGCCACTGACCTAGTTTGGTCTGTTTCTTCAGCTACTCCAGGAAGTTTTGCAACTGAATAGAAAAAGAGAAAAAGCTCTTTCCAGATCTCAGGAGAGAGAAGAGAGAAGGTATGGATCCTTTCAAGGGCTGATGGACATCCACAATCTGTATGACCCACCCCTACAGGACAAGAATATGAAAAATCTTGCAAATATTGTACCCACAGACAAGAGGCAGAAATTGGAGTCAATTCCTCAACACCCTACTGTGGCAAACATTCCTTTGATTGTGGCTTCCTTATTATAAGTCATGAATTAGGATTTAGCATGCAATTATAAACAAAATTGAATCCTAGAAGAACCCATAAGTAGCATTCAAATCTCAAATTAAAAATTACAATTATTCCTCATCTAGATCAAGTTTATTCCTTCAGTCTGACGTTTTACTTCTCTTTCTTCTGGACAGTGGGATTATCTTGATTAAATCTGTGATTCTGTGATTTCTTTTGAGTTTTTTTTTTTTCCCTATGCTTTGCACTTACTGGGGAGGGGGAAAAGAATATTGGCATCTGCAAAGCAATTGACTGTGCAGCCTGATCATTTGCTAAGCATTATTAAAAGCTCCCTGAAATCACTCCAGTGCTTTGCCCTTTACAAGCCATCAGCCATCAATTCAGACCATCAAATGTGATTACCAGCACTCCTCCTGAAGCTACTTCCAAGCCATTAGGCTGATCGAAAAGCTGTGTCTTTCTCTTCCTCCCAAGTGCATGTAAATCCAGCAGACCCTGCTCCTGTGTTTGGGTGGTGATTCATTACACTTCTGAATAGCATTTGTGGTGTTACAACTCCAAGACGAGTCAGAATTCATTAAATTTTCAGATATTGTCCTTATTTAAGGGAACTTTTTCAGAAATAGGCCCACATGTTCCTCTCTCTTCTCTGTGCCTCTATCCATTATGTATTTAAAATGTTCTGCTGGTGTGTAAAGAGATTTAATGACAGTGGCTTGGAAAAATACAATCAGAAAAGAATAAAACTTTTCTGCCAAAATTTTTTTAACAATTCCAGGTTTTTTTTTTCCTGCAAAAAAAAAAAAATTTTACAAAACATCCTTTTTTAAGGAGTATATTGTGGCTATTTTGCTCTTCTCTCTGAGCAGGAGTGGATGAGATGACTCCAAGAGAACCTTTATCCACAGCCTTATGAAATATCCTGTAGGAAAGTGGTAAAAGCTTTATATTTGCCACAGATTGGTTTTGGGAACTCAAGCTCAGCACAGGGATGGTTTTCTGCACAGAGTTATAATTGAATTGAGGTGTTGTCTTTCCTCCCAGCCCAGCCTTCACTCCAAGAACACGCACAATCACAAACACAAATATCTCACAGGGAAATATCAACAACTATTGAGCTGAAATAGGCTGGACTAGCCCCCAAACATAAATGTGAAAAGCTCAACAACCTGCACCTCCTTAATTTCATCCAGACTGAAAATTGGAGGAAACGGAACATTTCATGAATATCCCAATAGAAATTCAGCTCTCAGGCATGCTACCATCTCCTCCTATTTTAAATTGAGCAAATGACCAATTTCTCATTTATTTGTGTGGGAAATGTCTTTCATGTGGTTTCTCATTCTATAATTGGAACATAATGTGTCCAGATTATTTATCTTCACCTGATTGAGAAACCATAATAAATCCTCACAAAAGGAAGAGGTCCTGCAGCAACAAAAGCAGAAAAAAAGTCATTATAAATGCAAGACAGCAAGATAGACAGGTAACTAGAAGATGCACCATTCCCTGCAAATAATTTATAACAAATCATTTATTTATCCAATTTCACCATTTTTTTCTGCTCACAATGCATTAGCAAGATCCCGGAGTCCTAGAACTGACTTTTTACTTGAAATTATTCATGATTTTTCCCTTTTAAAGATAAAAAGGTTTGTCTTCTCCTTTCTTTTCAAATGATTTTACAAGGCTTGAAAATTATGTAGAGTTAAATAAGACAACTATTTTGGAGCTTTAAAAAACTGAAAACTATCTAGGCCTTAATTTTGTGACACAATTATGCTTGACTACTTTTTTTTCTTAGGATACTTTTCTAAGCAGGATGCTTCAGTAATGCTATGAGAATAGTTAAGATTAATTTCACTCTGATTTTAAGCAAATCAGATGTCTAAGCACCATATAGATCTAGGTCAGTCACATTACTCCTTGTCCTATGACTACAGCTTCTGGTGAAAAGTCTCTCTCTGTTGAGACTTGGAACCCAGAGATTTTTTTTTCCCATGTTACCACAACTTTTGCATCTGGTTTGCCCAGGGGTTTGTCTTTTTCAATAAATTCCTTTCCTAATGAGAGTGATAATTTCCTTCTTCATGGAAACTTTCCCTTGCATGGTGGAATGGCTCTGAGGAACCCAACACGGGGATGTCTTCACTTCTGTTCAACGGAACTGATGTTTTCCTGAAAGGAGCATTTCAAACACACAGGTGTTGTTTAGGGAATCATTTGGAAGGACTGGAATATGCCAGGGAGGAGAGCCCAGAGCCTCTCTGGGCTCTGCTCAGGGCTGGGCACTGCCCAGGGCAGAAGTTGTGCCTCCTGTGCAGGGAATTGCTGGGCTCAGCCCCTGCCCGTGGCTCTGGGGCCATCGCTGGGCCTGGGGCAGAGCCTGGGGCTGCTCTGACCTCCTGCACACAGGGACACACAGGGACACACAGGGACACACAGGGACAGCCAGGGACACACAGGGACAGACTGGGACACACAGGGACACCCAGGGACAGACTGGGACACACAGGGACAGGCTGGGACACACAGGGACACACAGGGACAGACTGGGACACACAGGGACACACAGGGACAGACTGGGACACACAGGGACACACAGGGACACACAGGGACAGCCAGGGACAGACTGGGACACACAGGGACACGCAGGGACACACAGGGACAGCCAGGGACACACAGGGACACACAGAGACAGACTGGGACAGACTGGGACACACAGGGACACACAGGGACAGCCAGGGACAGACAGGGACACACTGGGACACACAGGGACACACAGGGACGGCCAGGGACACACAGGAACACACAGGGACACACAGGGAAAGACTGGGACAGACTGGGACACACAGGGACAGACAGGGACAGACTGGGACAGACTGGGACACCCAGGGACACACAGGGACACCCAGGGACACACAGGGACACACAGGGACACACAGGGACACACAGGGCTCAGGCCCCTCTCACTGGGGCTCTCTCCAGGCTGAGCAGCCCCAGCTCCCTCAGCCTTTCCTGGGCCCGGAGCTGCTCCAGGCCCTTGCTCAGCTCCAGGAGCTCCTGGCCCTGCTGTGCTGAGGAGCCACAGCTGGACACAGCACCCAGAGGTGCCCCCAGGGCTGGGCACAGCACCCAGAGGTGCCCCCAGGGCTGGGCACAGCACCCAGAGGTGCCCCCAGGGCTGGACACAGCACCCAGAGGTGCCCCCAGAGCTGGGCACAGCACCCAGAGGTGCCCCCAGGGCTGGGCACAGCACCCAGAGGTGCCCCCAGAGCTGGACACAGCACCCAGAGGTGCCCTCAGGGCTGGGCACAGGGGCAGGGTCACCCCTGACCCGCTGGCAGTGCCCATCCCGATGCACCCAATTCCTCTTGGTAGCTTTGTTCGTGTCAGAGCCAAGTGACATTCCTGTAATTACAACACCCGAGTTAGGTGTAGACATAAAGCAGTATGTGGATAGAAATCCCCAAATTTAGAATTTGAGAACTCACTTGTTTAAACCCAACCCTTTGTGTGAGCAGCTGTCACAGCTGGACTGTGGGAATCCAGGGCTTCCCTCTGGCTGCCCTGGAAGGTCTGGGACCCTGGCAGGGGTCAGGAACCCCCCTGGACAGAGCCCCCAGAGACACTGGCTGTGATCTCTGCCCATGGAAAAGTGTTTTCAATCTTACAGGATGAATTACAAGCTCTGAGTGTTTGATATGAGTAATAATTAAGTGTGGCACAGGTGCAAAAGTAAAATTTTAGGTTTCTAGATTAGGGGTCCAAAGGGGACAAGATGGAGGAATTGGGTGTGTCTTGTCCTTTTCCTCCTTCTTCATGTCCTCCATATTTCACTGTAGTGTTGGCATTTTTCTGTTGGTTTAGGCTGGGGACACACTGTCCAACGTAGGTGACAGATATTGGCACGTTATTGTAAATCCAGCACAGGTAGTTTCTGGTATTTAATGTTTGTACCATCCCACTGAGGGCAGAGCCCCACACGCTGCCCTGCAGGACAGAGCTGCGGCAGGGCAGCAGAACATGTTAGAGATAAACAGAATAAACAACCTTGAAACCAGCACAGACGAATTATGGCTTCTTCTTTGGCAACGGGGCAGAAAGACAGAGACTTTCTACAATCTTGGAATCATCAATACCACGGATTCCGACAGTGGACCATGTCAGGGATCACAGAACAGGCAATGAAGAACCTGAAACAAAAGGTTCCCCTGCTCTGAAGATTTTCCTGAAAGATCTGTTGTAAAAATGACAAGGGCCGAGGACCTTTAGCAAAAGCTTAATCAGCAGTTTCTTTTATGAAGCAGTGTTAAAATTTGTTGCAATATTAATGATTTTAGCTCCTCAACAATAGGATACCTTTTATCCCGCCTGTGGCATAAAATACTGCTTTTAACATTTTGACTTTCTGTCAGTATTAGAATACGTATTAAATGACAGAAAATTCATTATGTGTTGCAATATAAATTAAGGGGAGAACCCAGACAGATCAGCCACCTTGTTCACTCAGATAACAGACAGCTTATTTAGAACTACTTCTTATATGATTTTGCATTTTTTAAGCTACCCTTAGTGCTTCCTTTTTCTATTACACTTACTGAGCCATGTATATTTTACATATTATGTATTTACCAAACTTAATGCCTTTTCCTCAGAAATGCTGCTCATAAAGAGAAGGTGCATAAAGCACATATTAAATTCACATATGCCAGCAAAGGGAAAGATAAGAGGAAGGTCAGCAGATCGTCTAAATTTTTCCAGCCCTCCATAATATTTCACTTATTTGTTACCAAGACAGAGTAGGTTAAAAAAAAAAACAACAAAAAAAAAAAACAAAAAAAAAACCAAAACATTGCTACAACATTTACATCACCCAAGGATCACATTTTTTAGAACTGGTCCACCAAAATCACTTATTTTTGTGTCATAGAAGGACTATCAGGTAGGACAAGCATTTCAAAGATTGTATCCTGAAAAGAAGCATTAATTGCTTTTACCTCCTTCTATCCAAAAATATTTTCATATTCAAAGTCAACCAGGGCTGAAAATCTCACAAAAAAATCCACAGTCTTATCTCTCCAAATAGTTAAGCAGGAATACATAAGAAATGGGATGGTGTGTGAATTTCAGAAGCTTAATCTTTTAATTAGAGAAGGTTCCATTTTTGATATCAATATTTCTGAAGCCATCGCACCAGACGGAAAACTGAAGCATTAACATGGCAGAACTAGACAATCTATTTAATTGTTGGGACAGAAAATAAATGATTGACTTATTGATTACTACATTTAGCAAAATTATCAAGCTACTATTTACACTGTTTTATCCATTGCTATGCTGTATTTTCATCCATAAAAGAATTTATGAGCAATTGAAAGAATTTGTCACTTCAGTGCCTAACAGCTGGAATGGTCTTCCTGCTTTAAAATCAAAGTTTTAAAACCAAAGACTGTAGTATTTTGTTTACAATGGTCCCAAACTTGAAATACACACTTATAAGTTGCATGTTTCATATTTGAGGGATTTCAGAGGTGATTTCAGAGCTGGTTTCAGAGCTGGATTGAAAAACAAACCAACTAAATGACTTCAGGACTAGCAGTCCATGTGCACTTAAAAGAATTACCCATAGTTTAAGACATCTGGACTTCCACTACCTTTGAACTTGTAGTTGTGAAATTTTACTGAGCTTGGAGATGAAGTTTTGCTGAGTTGTGAAGGATTTTAAATCAGACTCAGCACATGTGAACACAGTAGGTG